AAAAAAAAAAACCAACTATCATATCCAAGTCTCCAGACACTGTCAACTGACTAAAGAACACAATCTCTCCCGTTTTACCTTTGGTGGAAGCTTTCCTTCAGTTATAACCAAAGTATCTCCTCTGCAAACATTAAGTTCCTTCAGAGTGGCATTCTGTAGGAAGAGAAAGCACCGTACACTTGTAAGTCTACGTGTTCTTGTGCTTTGTTTCCTAAAGCATATGTTGGTGGGGTTTTAAGCCATGCATGCCAAAAGGTCCCAGGTATTTTGCTTTTCCACCAAAGAGCACAGAAATATCCAGTTAACGTCCACTGCTTGGAGACAACTTTGCAGCAGCACACAAGTATTGCACCTCCAGGAGTCTGCTCTGCAGGAGTCCTTCCAGAGCATCCTGTTGAGCTGTGTATTTCCTTTGCACCTCCGCATCTGGCCAACTGACACCTCATGCTTCTTTGTAAACGTATCATCTTTACTGCACGGTAAGCCTAGACTTTAGAAAAAACTATGTGGATGTGGCTTAATCCTAGTCCCTGAAAATAAGAGGCAGGTGCACAAGATTTACATTTTAGCCACAGGTATCCCAGCACTGTCTCCATAAGGCCCTGTGAAAATAAAACTCTGTGTATACTAAGGTAGCACACACAGAAACACCAGGCATTTGCTTTAATGCAGCTCTCTTCAGGGAAAGCCTCTACAGAAAAATGGAGTAAACTACCGCATGATTCACGTCAAAAATAGGATCCTCTTACTTCCTGACTTAATGCTTCCCCTGCTTCATAGCACCAGTCAATCCTTCTCAAATGCCAGTTGTCACCTACCAAAAAACAAAAACATAGATATGGAAAACTAATTAGCCAACAATGCTGTTTTGAAAAAACACCACAAAACTCTTCATAAGTGTTTAGGGGTTCTTTTGCTGGGTTTTTGTTTGTTTTTTAAACACAACTCTGACAAACTGAATGAAGTACCACCTTCATGTCCTTCCCCAGACCCTAGAAACACTTTGCTGTTTGGAAATGGTCTTCTCTTATTTTTATAAATGTCTCTTCCTCACCTACCTAAATAAAATTTCCTTGGTTTAAGAGGAAAGCAAAGGAATTCCCATGCCAACATACCATTTGAATCAATGACAGGCTCCTTAAAATGAAAACTACACTATAAGGAAAAATCCAACTTCCCCTCCCCAACTGTCTACCAGGAGACTTCATGCTGGAGAAAAAAAAAGATGGTGTAGTCCAGAAACTACAATACATCAGATTTAGCACCTATATCTAAAGCACACCAGGTACAGAAGGAACAAACACAATTGAAACTTTTTAATTTGACCAAAATAACTGATGAAAATACACTCTGACTTTCATAACTAAAAAAAAAAAAAAAGCCCAGAAGAAATCTCAACAATAAATTGGGGGGGGGAGGAACACCTTGCAGTCTTTTTAAACAACGTCAAAATCCACTGAAGTCTGACATTTCTTTGAATGAGAGCAGTAAGATCACGAATCTCTACACAAGGCCAAATTCAATTTTTCAAAAAATGGTAATATAAAATAAAGCAATAAAAACAGAACCATTGTTTCTTGGCAGTAGATCTATACTATAGGGAAATGAAAAAGGTTAAGTTTATATTTCCAAGATATTATTAACTACTTCAACTCATATGTACATGTACACAAGAGCACAATATTTAATTTTCATTTGGGCTACTCAATGTATATTCTGACCGTCATGTCTTTCAGGTGAACTTTTACATTTTTTGGAGCGTGGCTGAATTTGCAGCCATCTCTCCACTGCAACACAAATTCAGTCTTCAATGAATGTTTAGAATGAAAGCTGGAAAACAATGTCACTCCAAGACTCTTCTCCTCCTTCCTCCCCATCAGCATCAACAGAAAGAGATATTCAGCCAGGAAATTTATGTGTCGTGCTAGTGCTGTCTATATCTCTTCCTTAATCCCCACGTAAAAGCTTAGTAACAAGAACTGCTACCACTTATATTCCCAAATAAGGGCCAAACTCTGATCTCATTTTGAATAACTTGTTTTTGCAAAGCAACCAAAAATTATTTTTTACAGTTAATCTCATACAGTGGTTCCCACTACGATAGTAAATCTTGTCAAAACTGCCAAACACCTCCATCTGCACGTGCACCCAAGCAAACAGTCTAGGAACTGTGGATTTTGCCATATTTTGATTAAATGTAAAGCTTGAAACTGATTTTCAAGAGCAACTGCACAGCCAGCTTTTATCAGAGCAAGACTGCAAGTTTATCATTCTTTCCCCTCCTCACACTGCAGTGACACACAGATCATTGCATCAAACTTATGACTTTTAAGTTTTAGGGTAGCAAGAGCTGTCTTAGAAATCTGGTAATTCCTTTAAAAAAAAATCGTTAAGTAATAATATAATACAACTAACCTGATAATCCAGATTTTTCCAGCATTAAATTTAGACACTGAAAAAAGAAACACACGGTGAGACTTGTCTCAATGCATTGGTTGGGAAATAAAGTTTTCAGCAAATCTACACTAGAATTTTCTAACATAAAGACTGAGTGGCTGATTCCTATTCAATTCCTAAAAATAATATAATTACCTAGGCATGGTGTATTTGAGCTATATATTAAACACTTCAAATATGACATTGTTTTCAGGCAAGAAATTTACTATGTCAGGCGAGTCAGCTTTTACAAACTGTTAAAAAGAAATCTGTGCTGTCAGTTTGTTGCTTTACTTGAACAAATTCCATCCCAGAGTTTGAAGATGCACCTTTTAGAAATCAAACTGCTAACTCAACACTTTCCAGCCACTACTCGTAGACGTTGGCACTCCGTGCCAGAAGTCTGGATTGGCAGTACCGAGAACTGCTTCCTTCGCTCTGTGCACAGCTCTTCCCGACTCCTCTCACTCCAATTCTGTGCATTCAGTTTGATGAACCACAAGGAATTGTGGTAGGCTCTGCCATGATTGCATATCATGCTGAGGACTGCTGTGTATAAAAGGAGTGGCTAGCCATGCACGAAGCACTTGGGCTATGTTCATCCTTGGGAAAAAGCAAGGATGTCTCTTTACTACTTGGTGAAAGATCAAGGCATTCTTCTGTGCTGGTTTTGGCAAGGGTAGAGTTAGTTTTCTTCATAGTGGCTAGTATGGGGCTGTGTTTTGGATTTGTGCTGGAAACAGGGTTGATAACACAGGGATGTTTTTGGTACTGCTGAGCAGTGCTTACACACCGTCAAGGCCTTTTCTGCTCCTCACACCACCCCACCAGCGAGTAGCCTGGGGGTGCACAAGAAGCTGGGAGGGGACACAGCCAGGACAGCTGACCCCAGCGGACCAAAGGGACATTCCATACCATGTGACGTCATGCTCAGCATATAAAGCTGGGGGAAGAAGGAGGAAGAGGGGGACGTTCAGAGTGATGGTGTTTGTCTTCCCAAGTAACCGTTACGCGTGACGGAGCCCTGCTTTCCTGGAGATGGCTGAACACCTGCCTGCCCATGGGAAGCAGTGAATGAATTCCTTGTTTTGCTTTGCTTGCATGCGCGGCTTTTGCTTTACCTATTAAACTGTCTTTATCTCAACCCAGGAGTTTTCTCACTTCTACTCTCCTGATTCTCTCCCCCATCCCACCGGTGGGGGAGTGAGTGAGCGGCTGTGTAGCGCTTAGCTGCCGGCTGGGGTTAAACCATGACAATTCCCCCAGTGGCCTTTTGGAGTTGAAAACACTTCCTTTGCCTCGGGTGTCTCCTGATGACCTGAAGTGACGCACAGATATAAGGCAAAGTTCTCCAGGAGCAGCAGACCTGACCCAGGCATGACAAAAGCTTTTAAAAGCAGCTAGACTTACCTCTTTGACAGAGGCAGTCTCTTCCACAACTATCTCCATCTCAGGGCTTGAGTTTCGGTCACTCCCAACAATAAAATATAAGAAGAGCTAAAAAAAAACCAAGTATAAGCTACCAGAACACATATTTAAGTATGGAAATACTGTGAAATAACACCCCCTAATGCACACATATACCAGCTATCGCAAGCCTGCCATCAGTTGAACAGCACTGAAACTCCTTTGGGCTAAAGCAAACAATCTAAGAAGGACAAACAGAGAAGCACATGCAATTGAATTATGGCCATCAGTAGAACTTCATTAACCATCTGCATGTCTGCTGCAAATGAGAGATAAAACCTGCTAGCATTCTGATCTTTAGAAATTTACATTTTAGAAATACAGAAATATATTTTTTCGTCTTGCATATTTACAACTTGTAGATATCAAGAGCAATATCCCCCTTTTCTTACTTTATGCTTTTTACAAAAGTATATGCACATCAGAGCACAGAAGTTGGACAACCACAAACAGACGAATGATAAATGATTTCCTATTAGTCATATGAGGTATATTAACTGGTCATATATATGCTCTTGGCCTTCTGCAACTGAGATAAATGGTGTGAACCTTCATGCTGATATGTGTAATTCTCAGTGTCACTGAGCATTTTTTTTCCATGCCATTTACAACCATTACAAGACTAAAAAGAGGACTATATGACTGGCAAATGTAAACAAAGCATAAAAGCAGCACGAGACTCTTTTCAGTCGCAGCACTACTATACCTGAGTGGAAGTTGGAGCTTTCCCATGACACAGCCCTAGCAAGCTTCCCATTTTCAGTTCTGCTTCCTTGACGGTATAATCCTCAGGCACTTCACGAAGGACAGAAACAAGGAGAACATCATAAGCTGCTGCTTCCTGAAAATATCCGTTCTATTATGCTGCTCTTTAGAGTCAGATAAATATGTTCAGTGACATTTAGAGAACTTCAGTTCCACAGTGTTGACATCAGATCTGTAAGCCTCCTATGACGAAAGCAAAGCAACATTTGTATAAAGGTTCCTCCCCACCACCCCTTGTATATGGGGTGACAGAAGAATTTAGGTTGGAAGGCATCTTTGTAGGTTGTCTGGTCCAAACTCCTGCTCAAAGCAGAACCAGCTCTGAAGTCAGATCAGTTCACTCTGGGCTTTTTCCAGTCTTTTTCCAGTCAAGCTCTGAATACACCCATCCCTGGAGATCTCCCAGCCTCTCAGGGCTCCCTTTCTATTGTTTGACCACTCCCAATGTGAATTCCCTTCCCCCCCCACCATACCAGCTGGAATTTCCCTCGCTGAAACTTGTGTCTGCTGCCTCTGATCCTTTCCATGTGCTCCTCTGAGAAGAATCTGGCTCTGCCTTCTCTATAGGTCCATGTTAAGGAGTTAAATATGGCAATTACCCCTCCTGCCCCCAAGCCTCTTCCTCTTCAGGCTGGGAAAACCCAGCTTCCCTCCTCTTTCATGCTCCAGCTCCCAAACCATCCTGGGTGCTCTCCTCTGGACTGGCTCTAGTTTGTAAGGGCTTCTTTCTCATGCTGGGGAGCCCCCAAAATGGACACAATACTCCAGATGTGGTCTGACAAGCGCTGAAGGGAGGGGAATTAATCTCTCCTTGGCTTCCTGGCTGTGTTTTACTAACACAATATATTAGCAAAATAGCAGAGACACAGAAAATGTTTCCCAGCAAGCACAAAGCTGATCCACTCAGTTTCTCACCACTGCCCCAACAACGGCAAAAGCAAAGCTGGGGGTCCTTTTCTGCTGAACACTGGCCATCAGGAGCACAGTCATATAATGACAAGTGGTATCATAAGCTCATCTAAATCAAAGAGCAGGCTATGGCACGAACATGTTCCTCCATTCTTATGGAAGCAGAAATCCACACGTTATTCACTGTGCTTCTTAAACCGCAGACCGAAGTTGCCTTCTCACAGTAAACAGGAACCTAACAGTGCTTCCTCCACCACCACAGGCCTCAAGTTTGCTGCTCAAGCCGTTCTGAAATCCAACTTTGCGCATCAATACTCTAACAAATACATTTAGTTCATTTTGTTTCAGGAAATAGAAGTTAGAAAGACATGGAACAATGACTCTGCTTCCTGAAACATCTAGAAAGTTGCTCTGCAATGTATTAAATATGACTCAAAACAGATCATTTAGAGATTTTTCAATTTATAAAACAAGTATGGGAAACAGAACTTTGTTAATTCCCACAGTCTTGAAGCACATGGCCAGTGGTCAATAAACAACGGCAGGTACGCTAATCAGTTTTACTCATTAGGAATGCAAGTAATAAAACCAAGCTGAACATTTAAAGTTTAACCTCTAGCTTTATATTGGTACTGTTAATAAACAGTAAAACTGGAAAAAAAATCCCACACAACTGCTTCAATTAAGCCTGGAAATTAGCAGAGTTATGTGTGTGTACTTCTCCCAGGAAAGGAGAAAGGGAAGCTTAAAGTCTCCCAATTGAACTTCTTACAGAACAATAATTAAATAAATAAATTTACCTGGAGACAGAAGTTTCCCATTTCCGCTAACAGGTCTAAGACAGCTGTCATTTGCTGTAACAAAAAGGGCAGGAAAGAGAGATAGATGTATTAAGTAATTCAAATAAGAGATTTGGCTCAGAAGTTTAGACAGATAACATTTAAGATTAATGACAACAACAGGTTTATCTTAGAGGCTTCCCTCTGGAGGTATTACATCAGAAGTACAACTGGAGAGAGATTCCTAGAGACTTCATGAACAGTCTTAGTTTTTATCCTTTCAGTGAATGATTACTTTCTCTTTGAAGCCAGCTGTTAGCCACAATCAGTAAAATACTACAAAACTGACCAAGTGCTTCCAAAGGTAAAGGCATCAACAAGAACTTTAAAGAAAGAAAACTGGAGTGTCTTAAGGAAAGGAACAAGGTTAAAAAAAAAATCTTCAATTCTGAGTGTAATACTTTAGTAGGACGACATGATTATTCCTACTCAAACACCTTCTGAACTATAAGAGCTTCATAAAATATATTTTAAGTCAAGACTTACACAGATTTATTTTTTTAAGCTAGGAAAAATAATAATTTTATTCAGAATTAGATCACCCTCTTTCTTCCAAAAAAACCCCCCTAACAGCAATGGATTTGCTGTTTTGAATAGACGGATGCAAAAAGCAGGAAGCCAGCCAGTAAATTCTAACATTATCAGATCTAAAAGTAAAGCAGCTGAACGCTTACCTAGTTCCTCCTCTAGCTGAAGCTCCTGTATTGCTTTCATTTTGATATCTGACATCACCTAAAAGAAAGCAATATTAACACTTCTAATGTAGAATGCCAGTAACACACCTCCTGTTCAAATGCCAGTCCACAAAAGGCAGCCTTCATTTGAAATGCATCCTTGTTACGTTCTCATTCCTGTTAACACTATACACAGCTGAGAAAACATTTCTTTTAAGATTATCATACCAAATACATATAATGAATAAATGTACTGATACCATAAAACATTTGTGGAAGTTTTCCTTAAAAACAATATTCCAAAGAAATGGGAGACCATCCTGAAGGGCAAAGGGGTCCAGGAAGGCTGGACGATCTTCAAGAAGGAAGTCTTAAAGGCGCAGGAGCAGGCTGTCCGCCTCAAGTTTGCTGCTCAAGCCGTTCTGAAATCCAACTTTGCGCATCAATACTCTAACAAATACATTTAGTTCATTTTGTTTCAGGAAATAGAAGTTAGAAAGACATGGAACAATGACTCTGCTTCCTGAAACATCTAGAAAGTTGCTCTGCAATGTATTAAATATGACTCAAAACAGATCATTTAGAGATTTTTCAATTTATAAAACAAGTATGGGAAACAGAACTTTGTTAATTCCCACAGTCTTGAAGCACATGGCCAGTGGTCAATAAACAACGGCAGGTACGCTAATCAGTTTTACTCATTAGGAATGCAAGTAATAAAACCAAGCTGAACATTTAAAGTTTAACCTCTAGCTTTATATTGGTACTGTTAATAAACAGTAAAACTGGAAAAAAAATCCCACACAACTGCTTCAATTAAGCCTGGAAATTAGCAGAGTTATGTGTGTGTACTTCTCCCAGGAAAGGAGAAAGGGAAGCTTAAAGTCTCCCAATTGAACTTCTTACAGAACAATAATTAAATAAATAAATTTACCTGGAGACAGAAGTTTCCCATTTCCGCTAACAGGTCTAAGACAGCTGTCATTTGCTGTAACAAAAAGGGCAGGAAAGAGAGATAGATGTATTAAGTAATTCAAATAAGAGATTTGGCTCAGAAGTTTAGACAGATAACATTTAAGATTAATGACAACAACAGGTTTATCTTAGAGGCTTCCCTCTGGAGGTATTACATCAGAAGTACAACTGGAGAGAGATTCCTAGAGACTTCATGAACAGTCTTAGTTTTTATCCTTTCAGGGAATGATTACTTTCTCTTTGAAGCCAGCTGTTAGCCACAATCAGTAAAATACTACAAAACTGACCAAGTGCTTCCAAAGGTAAAGGCATCAACAAGAACTTTAAAGAAAGAAAACTGGAGTGTCTTAAGGAAAGGAACAAGGTTAAAAAAAAAATCTTCAATTCTGAGTGTAATACTTTAGTAGGACGACATGATTATTCCTACTCAAACACCTTCTGAACTATAAGAGCTTCATAAAATATATTTTAAGTCAAGACTTACACAGATTTATTTTTTTAAGCTAGGAAAAATAATAATTTTATTCAGAATTAGATCACCCTCTTTCTTCCAAAAAAACCCTCCTAACAGCAATGGATTTGCTGTTTTGAATAGACGGATGCAAAAAGCAGGAAGCCAGCCAGTAAATTCTAACATTATCAGATCTAAAAGTAAAGCAGCTGAACGCTTACCTAGTTCCTCCTCTAGCTGAAGCTCCTGTATTGCTTTCATTTTGATATCTGACATCACCTAAAAGAAAGCAATATTAACACTTCTAATGTAGAATGCCAGTAACACACCTCCTGTTCAAATGCCAGTCCACAAAAGGCGTAGATGAGGCGCTTAGGGACATGGTTTAGTGGGCATGGTGTTGTTGGGTTGATGGTTGGACTCGATGATCTTGGAGGTCTCTTCCAACCTTAATGATTCTATGATTCTATGAAAGTGGTATTTCATTTTTCGATTTATCAAAAGACTAATATTTCACAAATAGTAATTTTGTGAGCAAAACTAAGTAGTACTTCATATTTTCTGTAATAGGAAATAATTTAAAAGGCAGAAAAGGTACCAGAGAAGCCCACCCCTTGGGGATAGTAATTTTGTGAGCAAAACTAAGTAGTACTTCATATTTTCTGTAATAGGAAATAATTTAAAAGGCAGAAAAGGTACCAGAGAAGCCCACCCCTTGGGGAAAACCAGCACTTTTTCCTACCCTATGTTGAAAGCAAGAAATAACAGTTTCCTCCTCTTTTAGGTTTTGTTTACTGACATAGCCTCACCAAGCGTACATTTACAGGATGGTCCAAAAAGAAGACTGTTTCACACTAAAACACACTAATGTAGACTGCACTGGTTTAAGTTACCAGCATTACAGTCTTATTACACAGCAGTCAAAATATTCCAGTAATGGTAACTCTAAGTTGCACACTATTTTCACCACAGAGAAACTTCAGCCCTGAGGCTAAATCCACTCCTCATTAATTGGCCCAAGTGCACTTGCCAAGTTTTTCAGGGAAACAGCCTGTGTTATATCCGTGAACAATCAGACTCCTTACTGTTTCAATAGTGGCAGTAATTTTAACGTGTTTCTCTTCATCTTCTGTTCTGCAGAAGTTTTTAACTTGGAGCCAGCTGATGTCATACGTAAAAGCAGTCAAATTGCCACTTGACGCATTCACAAAGCTGTAAAAATGAGCAGTGCAAAGATGGTCAAAGACAGGAAAACTACACAGTCTGGGCTAGATCACTAAATACCAAAGCTCTCAAATAAACTGATAATGACTAGGTCATTCACAGTGATGGCATGTCACAGAGTAAGAGTCAGAGGCCTCAGGCAGCATCCACACATCTCTGAGCTACGTTTTGGTAACTGGCTTTCAATGGGACTTGAGCTTCCGAAGGCACTTCAGAGTCTAAGTCACTTTCTGAGGCTGGATTTAAGGCTTCTGGAAAAAATATGGTAAAAACATACCTAGTCATAACTAGAATTTGAGATTTTCTCTGTCTCTGCTACTGTATATAACCACAGAAACAGTTCTTGGTGAAGAACCCTCTCACTGCTTGATTTAATCTCAATTTTTCAGTACTGTTTCGACTAGGAAGTCAGAATTTATGTAACAAGCACATTTACATGTCTCTGAAAATGGGAACCTAACCTCAGGGTTATACACTGGGAAGTGAAACGAGACCAGAAATTTGCACCTGAGAACTTCACATTCAACTGGGAGATTCAGCAGAGCTGCATACTCTTCTGATACTGCTCTGTTCTCTCGTCCCACCAAGTCCCTCAGAGAACCACACAACTCAAACCTCAGAAATTCAGGTTATGCCAAAGATGTGCCAGCACACTGGGCACAAGTTGTTCTCACTAGGTTTTTCCCTTTACAAGTGTAAGTCAAAGGATGTGACTGCATCTGCACTTCAAGAGCAAAGAAATATCCAATAGTTGATAAGTACCTGATCTCCAAAACTTGAGTTTACATTATCTTAAATTAAAAAGCTCAAAGTGACAATTAGTTAAAATATCTATCTCTCTCTCTAGCATAATTTTAACTAAACAGATTTTGCCAGTGTTTATTTTTTGTTTAATTATACTTGCAATCAAAATGGTTACCTCTGGTCATGGCTGTCTAAGATTAGTACTGAGCATCCATCCATCAGACCAACACTTTTGACTGTTTCCTTCATATCTTCTTCAAGAAAAACTTGCCAGTTCTTGGCTTCTTTATCTGGTCCTGAGCCGTTCTTTAGGATGATTCCTCCTGATGGTGCTAAAGCTCTGTGCAGATCACCCAGTTTTGTGCTGCATGAAAAGACGTGCTGCGATTCTGTGAAATGCTGACCCTTCCCTCCTTCATTATACTCTGCTAAACGAAGAACATTTACGACCACAGGTTCATGATCAGGGCCCGTCATCACCTTTGTACCACCAACCTGAAGTAAAGGAATGCAAGATTTATGCAGTGGTGATCAATAAAATACAGAAGAGACTGGACAGCAATAAATGACAACAATAAAATTAGCGAGACAAAAAGATAGACCCCCTCCTCTCATTAGAAATAAACCACCTTTGAGCAAATGCCTACTGAACAAACAACTAGAGTAACTCAAAGGTGTTGGGAAGAGGAAGTATAATGCTAAGGTTTGTTTCAAGTCTGCATGTATAGTAAATATACCAGTAACAGTAGCTGGGAAAACAGTGGACACTTGGTCTCCATCAGATTAAGAATAGAGGAATTCAGCCCCTCAGGATATTAAAGAACTACCCAAAAGTGTGACTAAGGCAGATCAAGAGAGTTAGATTTTAAAATCTGGCCTTTCTGATATTCAGAAGGCAAAGTATATTTGCCTTTCTGATAATTCAGGCAAAGTATATAGTTCCTACAAAGGCAATTTGATCACACAGGAAGCTGGAGACCATACCAAAAGTACAACCAAGACAAGAATGAACCTGTTACTAGATGTTTTCTTTTAGTTTTGGAGGGGGTTTTTTTGATAAATCGGAAAGAAAATGTATACTTTTACAACAAAAAATTTTTAAAAGTAATATTCTATTCCATTACAGGATGGAATAAAATGCTGTGTTACATAACTACTGAGGCAAGTATTTGAAAGTTAAGCAGAAGCCTTAATATTAAAAGGAAGATGCAACACTGGAAAAGGAGCACAGTATTTCAGGGAGATCATACACAAAAGTAGTCATTCACAGGTCTAATTTTATATGTGGAATGATTCACTACCGGGCATAAGTTTTTGTTATCTCATTACTATCAAGTGATCTCCTTCCAAGAGGCACCAGATGCTTTCAGAATACACTCCAATGTAACTGGCATTGGATATCTACACACCTATCAATTTGACCATATTGCATTCTGCATAGTATAATTCTATTTATAATTTTATCAAGCAGCACACTGTACATCACTCAAGGCATACTGAAAAGCTGTAAAGACATAGTATCCTAGATGAGGCTGAAGTGTTGTCTCCAAAACCAACATTGGTATGTCAGCAGCACATCTGCAGAACAGATTGACATTTCCAAAAATGTGTCTGGAGATTGCATCTTATCTCTTCAGAATTGACAAGGAGAGAGGGTATTTGGTTCTTTTACCTCTTTCCCATTCCACACAAAGACGTCTGCTCCATCAGCCAGCCCAATGCCATCCAGTGTCAGTTCATCTCCTAAAAAGGAGCAAATCATCAAGTTCTTTCCACGCCACAAAGCAGACAAGCAGGGTCAGCTGGTAAACTGAAATATGCTGGCACATTCTACTCTGGCTCAAGTGCATCATTACAAAAGCTGCTGTGAGATCAGCATTTACGGTGGGCAAGTTAGGGGTTACTCATGTAGCAAGAGCAACACAAGTGGGTACACACCCCTACAGCACTCTCCACTGAGTAGAGGGCCGCAGCATGAAGGTTTCAATTCAATATCCCTTGCAAACTGAGGCCCAAGTTAGCACTTGGCAAAGCTGCTTAGTCAGGATTATCTACATTAAATTTAACAGTGAATCAATAGATTTAAAATAAAAAGGTTGGATTTAATAAACTAGTTACATACTGTACGTTCTAAGCCCATTCTTTGCAATACTAATGCCCATGCTCCAGTTTCTTTTACCTTCCTACTGTAAATCGGATTCAGATTTTTTAAAAGTCATTGTCATTTAAAGAACTGTACTAGCATCTGGAGGAATATTTACAGCAGCTATGAGTGCCTCTGTATTTTGATGTTAACATCATGGAAAGTTGGGTTATGTTCTGGTAGAACCCTAATTTTCTGAAAGAGACCACAAAGACTATGAAATTTAAAAATGGCCGATAGGCTTTTGAAGACTAACACCTACAATTGTATAACAATGCAAAGCTGGAGACAGAACTCATGATTTTAAAATACTAATGTACTCCTAATAAATTAAAGTACTCTTTATGTAAGCATTTTCCTTTACAAAATTCCTACTTCAGCTTAGGTCTAACCTACAGTTTTCTTTGATATCACGCTGGGTCTTCTCTTCTGTCCTCTCCTCTACCTACTACGTAAATACTATGAAGGCAAACGTTCATAAGCAAAGCAAGGTCAAAGTACAGACTGATACATTTTTGTCAGCAATCTGTTTAACTTGTGTAAGATCTGCAGTCTTACTGCACTTCACAAAAAAGATTACATATAAAAGTCTCAAAAAACTTCATTTCACTAATAAGAGTGTCCTAAATACCTTAACGGCAGTGGACTTGCACATAAGTTTGAATTTGAAGAGTATTCAGCAACACACTTCTCCAAGATGTTTTACATATGAAATCCTCAGTATCTGCAGTATATACAACATATAAATAACATGGAAGCCTTGTATGTAGTAGTCTTACCATCAAGTATCTGGTAAAGATGCAGTCCTGCTGGTAAAGGTTTGGCAATACTGAGAATCATGTCTCCTTCCCAAGATTCCAACATCTAATTGGGAAGAAAAGAAAAAAAACAAAACCAAAAACAACCCACACCAGCAACCAATAACTCACATCATTCAAAATTACAACGTTGCTGAAAGATGTTACAGCCTGGCTACCAAGCTCACTTTGACGCTTAACAAGTCACAGCTATTTACTTCAACAAGGCCAGTAACACAGAAAACAGTCAAGCATTTAGGACTTGGCCTTTCAGACTAGCCACCAGATAGACAAAAGTAATGTTTCAACTGGACACTAACCAAAGGTTGTGAGGTACAGGAAAAGCAAAATGTTTCCTGACATTAAGTTAGCTTTGATTTAGACCTCTATAAAAAAGCATTTTACAAATTGCCATATTCCTTTAACACAGTAGAGAATAAATGCAAAGATACCACATTCAATAGTTAAGCTAAATATGTCTTTTAACTAATTTTCTTTGTTCTTAAACTACTCTAATTATTTCCTCTTAAGGCCAGCTAGCTCCTTTAAAATACAAAGACAAATCTGCCACAAACTGAAATGTTAAGAATAAGCCTGGAGTTTTGCAAAGCATCAGTCCATGTACATGCTGCCCAAATATAAATAATTAGCTTATGAGAGCTTTAAAGTCTACATAGTTAAAGATTCATCAATTTCATGGCTTCTTCAGTACTTCCAGAACAGACCTCAAACCAATGTTTCCTTCTGTGTAAATCCATATAGTTTTTAATCTCCAAAAAATAACATTTACTGTTGAAAATTTCTCATTGAGATAAAAATTGCAGCATAAATACATATGTAAATGTTGTTGTAGCTCAAGTAAAAATGAAGTGTTTGAGTTCATTTAATATGGGAAATACCTGGAATACTGATAGTCGAAGGTCTCCTAGCGTTTTTCTTCTATCAATAGTCAAATCCACAACACTCTCTTTCCAAGCGAGTGAAGGATGCAAAGCCCCATTGTGAAATTTATAACATGAGCTCAAATGGAGATGTAAATCAATGCCATGGTTTGCTGAGTCACATTCCGCTCTTTGAAATAACAACACAATAATAAACCGGTGAATTTAACATCGACAAATGGCTAGCTTATTTCAGAGACGCTTCTGTGCAGTTGTCCTGGAATTGATACCCTCATGACTAAATTCACCATCACATTCCCCCCTCCATCAAGGGGTATGCAAAGAGGTGCTCAAAGATGACAGTAATTTACATGTCATACAACATAGAGCTAGTGTAGACATCCTCCGCATAAGCACTATAATAGTACGTTCTGTGTGTTCCTATACCTTGCTTCTACCTTTCTAAACAGAACGGCAAACTTCACCTTTAGGGATGTGGACATTGTAGGTTTTTTCAGGCTGTGTTCCAGATCAGTACTCTGTTGAAATGCAGACAGAAGAACTGTGTGGAAACTGAGTCAGGACAGACACAGCCATGTCTTCCTCTTTTATACCTGTATCCAGTTCTATTAGCTGAACGTAGCAGCAAATGCACCATTTAAAAAATAAAGGAGTGAAATTTGCACAGAACAGATATATCACACAAGACTTGTGTCTCTTGGGTGTGTCTACATTTTGATAGCTTAACTGTGATTCAGGTTTATCAGCAGCTCTGTGTGTTCCTCAACAGAAGGAAAAGTTTCAACCAACCTGAATACCGCTAGCTTTTTCCTCTATGTTTCTGGCAGAGGATACCATTTATCTGTTGTTTCACAGTAAAGCAAGTCGTCCCCCCTTCTCCCAACGGAGAACTCCCTCTAAACATAATTAAGATAACGTATTCTGTTCTCCTTCCAAAATTGCACTGATTTTCACAAAAAAAGGTACAATTTTAAACTGTAAGTAAGTTTCCCTTGAAATTCTGTAGAATGCCTAGTTACGCCACTAACAGGGAGGCAGGGAGCCAGTAAAGGCAGAATGTGGGCATACAAGTTGTATTCCTTGATTAACTTCTATGACATTGAATCATTTTAGTGTTTGGCTCTACTCAATGAGTTTCTTTCATTTTAAGTCACTTTGGAGATCTGCAGATTAATAATGCTGTTTAAGAGATTGGTACAGTTACATTAATATACCTCCTTTTTTGCAGTTCAGTATTAGCAGCATTCATTTCATTCAGAAGGTGTTCAGGAATTTGGTACCTTGGATTTCCTTGCGCTGCAACAAATAATATAGGTTAGTTTGGCCTCAGCTGTTTAAAATGTGTTTCGGTAAACAAGAAAAGTGATCAAGATGAGACATTACAGTATGGTAATCATTGAAAATTCAGAGCAATAATGTTGCACCCTTTCGTAATAGAGAAAATTAAACTGCAAGATGATACAAAGAACAAACAAGTGCTTTTACTTCTTCCTC